GTTCCAAGGCAGGCATCACCCGCCCAAAGCAAATCTTCAACCTTAACACCACTGTTCCCATTTCCCCCTTACCCCGCACCTACCGTAGTGCTCTTAAAGATCCAAACTGGCATGCTGCTATGGTTGATGAATTTAATGCTTTGATCAAGAATGACACATGGGAACTAGTACCCCCCTCCCCCCACCAAAATATTATAACTGATAAATAGCTTTTCCGACATAAACTTGGCCCTACAGGTGAGTTATCCAGGTACAAAGCTCGATGGCTTGTTCGCGGTTTCAACCAGAGATTCGGTGTGGATTACGATGAGACTTTTAGTCCGGTGATAAAACCGGCCACGATAGGGATTGTGTTGAGTATCTCTCTTTCTCAGGGGTGGCCCATTCATCAGCTGGACGTCAAAAATGCATTTCTTCACGGGTACCTGCAGGAGATAGTTTTTACCACTCAGCCCTCTGGCTTTCAGGACCCGGCCAAGCGTCACCAGGTCTGCAAACTCAGGAAGGAACTATATGGTCTCAAACAGGCTCCCAGATCGTGGTACCATCGCTTTGTCAGCTTCATTCAGACTCTTGGGTTCCGCAGCTGCAAGACGGACACCTCTCTCTTTGTCTTCACTTGTGGGACGGACACAACATATCTACTCCTCTATGTAGATGACATTGTTCTCACAGCATCCTCTGATCATCTCCTTCAGCATCTCACACAGCGTCTCAAGGGAGAGTTCACTATGACTGATATGGGCGACCTACATTTTTTCTTGGGCATCAATGTACATCGCACTTCCCGAGGGCTCTTTCTTCATCAGACACAGTTCATTCATGACATTCTTGAGCATGCCGGGATGGTCACCTGCCGCCCCATCTCCACCCCTATTGATACTAAGTCGAAACCCTCCACTACTGCTGGGCGAGCTGCATCCGACCCCTCCCTCTACCGCTCTATTGTTGGCGCCTTACAGTACCTCACATTCACTCGGCCAGACATCACCTATGCAGTTCAGCAGCTTTGCCTCCATCTTCATGCTCCACGAGAGGTGCATATGGCAGCTATGAAGCGGGTTCTCCGCTATCTCCGTGGCACCACTACATTGGGCATCTCCCTCACTCCCTCTCGCACGGACATTTTACAGGCCTACTCTGATGCAGATTGGGCCGGCTGCCCAGACACCAGACGCTCTACATCTGGCTACTATGTTTTTCTTGGTGATAATCTCGTCTCCTGGTCCTCCAAGCGGCAAGCCACCACCTCTCGATCCAGTGCCGAGGCCGAGTACCATGCTGTCGCCAATGCCGTTGCCGAGGCCAGTTGGATTCGGAACCTTCTCCTTGAGCTCAGACATCCCCTGCAGCGAGCCACTCTCGTGTTCTGTGACAATGTTAGTGCCATTTATTTATCCACCAATCCAGTCCAGCACCAGCGCACTAAACATGTCGAGGTTGATATTCACTTTGTTCGCGATAAGGTCGCATTGGGACATATCCGAATTCTTCATGTACCCTCCTCCTCTCAGTATGCTGACATATTCACTAAATGACTCCGCTCGGTTCTCTTCCTGGATTTTCGCACAAGCCTGGGAATTCGTCCTCCACCGCAGCCGACGTAGCCGGGAGCATGTTAAATATATTTAATATATATTTATGTTAAGTATATTTAATGTATTTATTATTATATCATTGTATTATTGGTAGTTACCTTTTGTATAGGTTTCCTTACTTATACTCCTACCATGATTAGGAGTCCCGCCTTGTATATAAATACGGTTGTACTCCTTGTAACACCCTAATCTGTCCAGGTCTGCAGCCCCTTTCGGACTAAAGTATTAACTTGGTAATCGTAAAATTTAAAACATTTCAAACACTTTTATTTAGCACAATAATATTTTCATATCATAAACAGTACGGAGTTTTCAATATTGCGGAAGCTTAACAAATCATAATTACAAACATAATTTATTTATGTTCTTTAATTCAAAACATCACATCCATTCCGACAGTCTCACCTCCGTCCGCCTCCAGGATCACGTCACATCATTCTTTCTATTAACCTGCGTGTAGCAAATAAAACATACTACACGCTCAGCGGTAAAGCTGAGTAAGCATATCTAATGCGTCGAACATCCATATAAATTGTATCTCAATTCACAATCAAATCATTTGATATCATGCACATAATGTTCAGTTCAAATATTCAATAATCAATATTCAATTTTCACCATTCATTATTCAATCGTTCAACATGTATGTTCTTCATTTGTCATTCAACAATATCCTTAAACTATTCTTAGTCTAAGGCCAATCATTTTAATATTTGTAACCCTTAAATGAATTCTAGTTTAACTAATTAAACTATATTCCAGTATATAGAGTACTCCTAATAATCCTTAATCTAGGCCTAGTTTAAGATAAAAGGGTTTGGAAATCTTAAACTTACCTTCACTTAAGGCCAACCAAAAACCGACAGCGTAGTGTTCACTGTTGGGTGGGTGGTACCCCCAAACGAGTAGGTACTCAAGTTTGGTTCTTGGATCCCGTACGTACGTTTTAACCCTAGCCACCGGGCATCATACCCGCAAGGCCTAACTTATATAGGTATATCTTAGAGTTCTTCTAGATACCTTTCAAATCAACATTAATATGGGTATATCTTAGAGGTCTTCTAGATACCCTTGACAATACATATTATTTTCACAATCATCAATATATTCATTATGATTTAATCATTCATAATTACCATTTTTAATCAAAACATTTATCAAGATTTAATCATATTAATCACCAACCAATAATCATTACCATAATCATCAACATATTCATTTTTAATTAGTAGGTTCATTAATCATAATCATCAATCAACATAACATTTAAAGCAATAACAATTAGTGGTCTAGTTTCAAGTGTTAACACCCGAACTTACCGTCATGCATCACATAACATTTTTATTTGTTAAAAACATCATTTTTATTGTAAAGAATCATCCTTAAAATAATCATAATCAATTGGTATCAAAAATAGGATTTTAGAGCTCAAAAATAGCAATTTCGGGCAAATTTTTGGATCAGAACTTCGGGGGATCGATCCAGCCCTCTGGATCGATCCAAACTATGAAATATCACTCCCAGGGGATCGATCCAAGCCCCTGGATTGATCCAGACAGTGGTGTTTCAGCCACTGTTCATCTTCTTCTTCGTTCGGGTCCAATTTCGGAAATACCGTTTTTAGTTATCGAACTTCAACGAAACTATATAGAGATGTTCTCCAAGGTTCATAGATCATTTTGGCATCATTAATTCATAGTTTTAACTTGAATTTCATGGTTTATGATTCTTGGTTCTTCAAGCATGTCAAACACAAA